ATTTGCACAAGCTCATCGAAATTGGGACAATGGGAGATTCGCATCATGGATGTGCAGCCGACAAATCTGCGGCAACTGTGTGATGCCATCATGTCAATATGGACCAAAATCTCTGAGGAATGCTTCGAGCACCTTGTTGAATCTATGCCACGAAGAATTGAAGCAGTTCTGAAGGCAAAAGGGGGTCCAACCCGTTACTAGCGTGGTGTACCTAATAAAGTGGCCGGTGAGTGTATATCAATGGATACAGGTACATGTATTGTTACACTCCTAGTGCACGTGTGCAACACCTGCCTACACGCACCGACCTTGTTACCCAAGTTGTTTTAACAGCACTAAACATAGTTTCGCCTCATCTTCTCCTAATTACCTTTTCAGCTCAGCAGCAAGTCGATTTCTTGTTGCTACGGCGACAGGCCTTCCTGCGTGCAGCGCTGCGATCCAAACAGATGAAGGTAAGTTCTGGACTTTGAATGCGTTTCTGTTTTTACTGCGACCGGTTTATTGATGCGTGTGTTTGCAGGACATGGCAGGAGCAGCGCAGCACCTCAGACACGCTAAAGGACTGGACCCAATGGTCACGGCTGCCAAGTCTGGCCTACCTGTTGACATCACTAAGGTTATAAATATGCTTTGACTGGAAAGTTAGCACAAAAACACACTTATATGTTTATATTTTGTGGTATCGTAACACAAAATGTGACTACGTCTATATAAGATACTTTTTGTCTGCATATTCTTCTTCCATTTTTAATATTTTCTAGTGATGCCCTTTTGTTCTGCAAGAATATTTTTGTTCATTTCGACTCCCTTTTGTTTGTTTTTGCTTCATAAAATTAATTTATTTTTCTGACTCCATCCCACTGTGTAATTACCTGGGATATTATGCTTGTGCCTCTGTTAGTTTGTCTTGTTGTGTCGACAGGAAATTGCACGAGCAGCTATTCAGCTTCTTTTTTTTTAATTTGAGAAAAGCAGTGTTAGAATTTCCATTTAAATATGGCATTTTAAACATTGCAGGTTTTCTGTCTTTATGCATCATCCTGCTTAGTTTTCTGGCTGAGAGTTAAAAAAGTCTCCCTTTTTTATTGTTTTTGTTTTTAGATGTTTTAATATTCTGAACCTTTTTTTAATATACAGCTTAAAAACCATATTTTAGTACAAGATCTGTAAAAGTGAGTTCTAGCCTTTATTTTGTGTTGACTTGGATTGGCACCAAAATTAAATAAGTTAAGTTCATGCAGTGATTACCTCCTGAAATCTCCATTAAAATCTGTCCAGTGAAATAATTTACTATCTCACTGTTGGTGCTAAGAATATGTTTTGTGGTTCAGTTTTAGATTAATATCTGAAAATTTATTAAAATTGTCACCGTTTTGAATTAGATTTACTAAAAACCTAACAGTTATAGCTGTATATTCTGCAATTACATGTTGAAAGTTCTAATAAAATTTGAGTGGTTTCTAAGATATTTTGGAACCAGGCAGGCAGTAAAAACTGTTATTGTGTTTCTGCACCTTTTGGTGGTGGTCAGTAAATAAGTTTTTAGTTTGTATCAGTTATTTTTCAGATGAATATTTTTTTGTTTTAGTTGTTAATTTAGAAATGTTTTGCTCACAGGTTCTCACTTCTTTTTGTTCCATCAGATTCCGAGCGCTCCGGTGAGTGAGGAAGATTATTCCCTGGGTCGTTCCCGGACCTCTCCTGTCTCCCCTCGCTCCAGTGAAAAGTACCATGGGCTCATGGATCTTCTACGAAAACAGCACGAGGTTAAAACTCTGCTTTTTCCTCCACCTTATCATTTGTGCTCTTTAAATACTGACTTTAGTTTCAACTAACGTTTTGTTTTTAATGTTTTGTATCCAATATTTGTTCTTTATCTTCCACCTCTCCTGTTGAATATCTCGATGAAAACAGAAATGTTTGAGCCTCTTGCAGCAGTTCACATTAATGGGCAACGTAACAGAAGCTTTGAAGTAAGAATCATTTATTTTGGCCTTTCTAATGTAAATTTATAGCAAAATTGAAAACGTTCTTGTTTTTTAAAAATGTTTGTTAAATGCAAGAGAAGGTAAAATTTCAACACATTTTCTCCAACTTCAATGAATCACAAGTAAAACATATTTCAATAAATTAGGATGTTTTTAATGTTTCAGGAGTTATTATTAACAGTTGTGTAATATTTTTAGTTCCGTATTTCTAATCGATACACTTGTGTGTTTGTGGCAGCACAAACTGAAATGTTTGTCTTTCTCTATAGTGTAATTTTCATGTTACTTTATATTTTACAAGATTTTTCCACAGAATTTTTCCACATTTATTTTTCTATATGCATATATATTTGTATGTGTATGAAAAAACAAACAAAAAAATTATTTATATATATATATATATATATATATATATATAAATATAATTTATTTATTTATTTATTTTTAAATGTGTGTTTGGTTCAGCCATTGACACCACAGCATAACAGCAGTTTATGCAGAAATCTGACTTGTGGCATTTCTGACGTAAAACTAACTTGTGAATTTGTGATGTTTTGGTTTTTCTGTCCCTCCTCAGGTTTGAGAAGCTGGCTGAGGAGTGTATAAAATACATAGAAATACTGAAGAGTGCCTACGCTAAGGGCCACCCGGTCCCCAAATGCCACACAGAGGAGAGAACCCTGAACTCTGTCAAGTTAGTTGTACAGTCTTATATCTGTTAGTTTTTCTGTTTATCCTAAGCATCCTAAGGAAGAAAACGGAACTTTCTTGATTCTTGAAGATGTTTCACCTCGTTCAAAATTTGCTTTCTTTTCTCATTGCATGTTCAAAGTTCCAAGTTGCACAAAATTAGAAAAACTTATAATGATGATGTGGGTTACAAAAAAGAAAAACATTTTCTTTATTCCTCATGCTTTCTTTTGTCACCACTATCATCTAAACCAGTGGTGTCGGATCCTGGTGCCTGAATCCTGCATGTTTAAGTTGTTTCCCTACTCTGCATCACGAAAAATGATGGTGAACAATTCATTTCAGTCCATGTCGTCTTTTAAAGCAGGGGTTCTTAACCTTTTTGACCTCAGGGCCCAATTTGTTGAACATAAAGAGGCACGAGGCCCAGTCAGACATTACCAATGTATGGATCAAAATGATAATTATTCTAAATCTTGGTTTAATTTGTATTTGCATTATAACTAAATTAAATACACTTACATTTTAAAAGTAAAACTCCTGTCAAATAATCACAAGACGTGATTATGACAAACATTTTTTTGTATTGTAACCTGCCCATAAAAGTCAACAGACCACTCAGGCTTATTGATTGATTGATGATGCCTTTAATTGTACAGAGCACAATGAAATTACCTTTAAGAACACCCTTTCAAGAAGAGTTATCAACACAAAAAATATTTTTTAAACATAAACAATAATAAAAATAGACAATTCAATAAATAAATATGTGAACATAAAATAAATGCATTCAAAATGTTTAATGTAAAATTTTCAAATAAAAAAATGTAAAAATAAATTTGTTAAAGTGCAAATGAAAATAAAGCCTTTTTTAGACTTTTGCATGGTAGAACCAGAAGCTGCTTTTCATATTAGTGACAAACATGGGCATTTTTTTGACCGGTTGCCTTTATTTTTGCTTCTACTTTTCATTTAAAATAGGTTTCCACTCTCGGCAGGTTTCTAAGTTTCTTCTACGTATTAAAAAAGTTGTTAAAGGAGACCAATTATGGGTCCTAGAAATTTTTATGGTATGTCTGTGGGCTATCCAGACCATGTTCATTCAATATAATGCACAAAATAATTCTCAGATAATAAAATTTCCCATTTTCTAGTTCTGCCTGCTCTGACTTCCGTTCAGAAGAGCTGTTTATGTTAATGAGCTCTGTTGGTAATGCCCTCCAAAAATCTGTTGGCATTAACTCCGCCCTCCAAAGCCAGCGTTTACGTTAGCATGGCTAATAATAGCAGAAGCTCCGTTGTACAACCGTATGAGACCCAGAGGCAGAGTCGTGGTCCCAGCTTCTTTTTTTTCCTCCCTCCTCTGCTCTGCGCTCACTCTGCATGCTGTTACCAGAGCAGGGAGCAGCAGCGGTCAAAATACCTCAGAAACTCAAACAAATAGGCTTTAACAAGGCTTTAATAAGCTAAACAATAGAGGTACATGAGAAAATGTGTTCATAACTAACGAAAATAAATAAATAATTAAATTGTGTCTATGCTGGTCTCAAACCCTGGTCTCCCACTCTCTGGTCCAACACTCTACCCACTGACCTATTGGAGGCTTGTTATGAAATGAGCTGCACATTGCACAACAACAACCATGACGGCTTTATATACTGAGGAGGTGGGGCTTCACCCGGGGGATGCTAGGTAAGGGGCTGAACGCAGGTTCCGGTGGGTTGTCGTACGGCTTGTGACCTCACAAAATGACAGAAGTATAAAACTTGTCGTTAATATACATTTAAAATACATTTACTTACAGTAAATATGCCCCTGGATGCATTTTTTTGGTCATAGGACTGTTTTTTTAAGAAGTACATACCCAAAGTTGAGTAAAAAAACCTTTAAAAAGTGAATTTTGCATAAAAGATCCCCTTTAAACATCTGATTGGTGCACTACTGCTACTAGTGGTGAGGAAGTGTATTACACCTTATTTAAAGTCGATGCGGCCCACAAAACCGATGTTCTTTTGAGTCCCTCAAGGTGGCGGGTTAAGAATCTCTGTTTTAAGGTAATGATTGTGTTGCCTTAGTCTGACTGAATTACTTTTCCTTTTGGACAAAATAAAGAGACCTGACTCCAGACTTTGTTAGAACATTAACTTTAGTGAAAATAAAGAATTATTTTACATGTGAAAGTAGCCAGCAGTGGTAATTAGCTAAAAACATTATGAACTGCATTTCAGCAAAACAGAAAACAAACCTCCTTCCTCCTCTAAAGTAATTCTGGGAAGTGAAGTTACAAATAACAAATCAGCCTTTAGACTACACATGAACCGAGTGGTGTTAATCAAATCATAATAGTGATTGTTACATGTTTTACTCTTGTTGATATTGCTGTGAAAATAAATAGTGCAGCTGTTGTTTGGTGTCACTGACCCAACTCATTCATCCTCTGAGTTGTTCATCAACAAGATGAACATGTGAATGGTTTTGAATCTGACTGGGAGGAGGAGTCAAAGCTGCGTAGGTGTTTAATGATTTTTTTTGTTTTATTTTTATTTATTTTATTTTATTTTATTTTATTTTTTCAGTTATCCGCTCCTTTCTTGATAATGGGTGAAGCAGTTCCATTAACTTCCATCATTCCAAATTCAAGCTAAAATCTTGGTTCTGCCATGTATTTTTGGAGCCAGCTGAACATTAGGGATGTGGTGTCGTGCCATCAAAACCAAAGTTTTACTTACACACCCTCTCAACTCACTAGCAGGCTGTAGTGTCAACCACAGAGTAACATGACACTTTTTAATCCTCAAACAACTAGTTGAAACTAAACATGCTTTTATGAGTTAAAGAGAAATGTTTTGACTCTCTCAAGCTGATTTAAGAGTCCACACATACATCAACTGTTTAATTAAAAAAGGACTATTTTTAGACATAAAACGACCTCTTTACCTTACTAGAGTGGGAGATGAGTCAGAATGACTCACTCTGACTCACTCTGCGTTTGCTCTGGGATGAAATCAGACTAAGAGCTCTGTGACTCATACAGGAGTCCAGATTATTTGGCTCTTTAACAGGTTGTATTCTGTCACACAGGATCCACTCCAGCCTGACGCCTAATGACCTGCTGCTGTACATCATACGAGGCATCAACCTGCCAGCTCCGTCAGGTACACAACTTGTCAACATCTTTGGACTAAACCAGCAGTAATCTGGTTGTTTAAACACGTTCACACCTTCCTCCCATCCTACAGGTGTCTCACCTAACGATCTGGATGCCAGTGTAAAATTTGAGTTTCCTTTTCCCAGCTCGGTAAGCTGATTCCATGCTCAGCGACTGCAGAGGTTTTACTCGTGGTGAACTGTTTGTAGATGGGCTTTAATGACTGCATCGTTGTTTGTCTGTAGGAGGAGGCCCAGAGGGACAAAACCGGCACAGTAAAGAACACCAGCAGTCCAGAGTTTAAAGAGCAGTTCAAACTAAACATCAACCGTAATCACAGAGCCTTCAAACGGGTCGTTCAGTCCAAGGGCATCAAGTTTGAAATCGTCCACAAAGGGTAAAATGACTCGGCTGCTTACCTGTTTATCGGCACCGTGTCTTTCTGTTCATGTCTTTTGTGTTTTCTGCTGCGTGTGTCTGCAGGGGTCTGTTTAAGACTGATAAAGTGGTGGGCACTGCTCATCTGAAGCTGGAAGCTCTAGAAAATCACTGTGACGTCAGAGAGATCATAGACGTGAGTGCTAATTGAATGTTGCCATTTAACACACACACTCGAAGCATCTTTCTGACTCTGTGTGGGTGTGTGTGTGTGTGTGTGTGTGTGTGTGTGTGTGTGTGTGTAGGTGATGGATGGTCGTAAAGCTACAGGCGGGAAGCTGGAAGTGAGAGTGAAGATCAGAGAGCCTCTTTCAGGCGCCGATCTGCAGCCGGTGACAGAGAAGTGGCTGGTTCTGGAGCCGGTTTCAACTCCCCCTCCTCCAGATAAACAAAAGGAGCGGGTGAGTAATGATTCTCGAAGTCGGCATGATCTCATTAAGTCACGTGACTTCAACCTCCATTTTTTTGTGGGGGGGAAAACTCATTGTGAGACTCTGTTACAAACTGTGTCAAAAGTAGAGACTTCAAACTACACAGCAGTTTTTAAATTGTGTCGTTGGATCAAGAGAAGAAAACCAGAGTTACGATAAATGGCATATCTTACTTTTTTATCTGAAAACGAACGTTCTATTTTGAAGTGCATTGCAGCTGAAGGGGGAAGGAAACACGGTAATCTCGTGGAAAAAACACCACCGTTCATCGTCAGTCTTATCTTTCTCTTCAACCGAAAAAAACCCCCCCTCAGACCTCCTTTTTGACTGAGGCTCAAAGTTATGTGAGAAGAAGTAAAAAATCTACGGGAAGAAGAATATAAAAAGAGGCGAAATTTGAATGGAGATTGGTGGCAATGTTGAGCCGGTGAGAGCAGGACTTTATTAATTAGATCTGTGACTTTTAACATGTTGTGTAGTTTTGAGTGTTTACTCTTCATTTTAGCCAGCTTTAGTGTGTTTTAATTTAAAACAATGAGGCAATTCTTTTTAAACAAGGAGAAGCACGTAGGTCTGCAGAGGCAGAACGACAACACGTGTCTTATTTCTCTCCCCTCACTCTTGCAGTTAGAAAAAAGTTAATATTTTATCTCTGGGTGTTTTTTACGTGAGAAACATCTAAACATGCAGGAAAGGAGTCATTGAGGACCAGGGTTGAGAATCACTGCTTTAATACATGTTATCTGATTTATTATTTACAAATAAATAGCAAAGAATCAATGGCTTCCAGAGGCAATACTAAAAAACATAAAACTAAGTTAATATTATATTTTGAAAATGTCTCCTCAAGCTCAGAGAAGCTCTTGAGGTGTTGGTCAACATTTAAAGCAGTGATTTTTAGATGTTTCCCTGATTTGACACACCTGGTTTGAATGAATGAGTGATTAACAATCTTCTGAAGACCTGCTGAACAGCAGGGAAACCAGTAAAACATGCTGGATAGGAGTACTTGAGGACCAGGGTTGGGCAGCCCTGGATTAGGACATTTATAAACATAAAGCAGTCTTATTACTGAAATACATGAATGCACAAATGAATTATGTTTTTGCTTCAAACAACACAACTCTAAAGAGTACCGTAAGTACTTTGCTCATCTAATGCCTGCAGGGAGCAGACATCACTTTAGATGGATTGCCAGAATAGTGAAGCCTCTTTGTGTGATTTTTATTTGTTTGTTTGGAAAAAGGCTCCGTCTCCTCGATCTAAACCCAGACATGAAGTCAGTGGAAGAAGCAGTCATCCCAACAACTCTTCTTCACAATACAACCTCCACAGCTTCAGCCTCCTCAACTACGACAGAGAACGCTTCGAGAGGAAGGTATTTTTTATCCATGGCTTCCTCTTTTCTAATGGTTGTAACGATTTAAGGTTCAGTATAATCGTCTTTTTAGATCGCAGATTACAGGAAGAATCGGCAAGATCCCCCATCTGATCTGATCCAACAACACAAAGAGGTTACACACAGACTGCAGTGGCAGAAAGCACAGCTGGAACGAGCATCTCCTGCTCTGCTGTCAGGTAAACGGCTCAGAATTACTGAAGTTTATCTGAACTTGTCATGGACATGAATGTCTCTAGCTTTGAGTTATCTATCCATCCATCATCATCAATCCATCCATCCATCCATCCATTCATCATCATCATCAATCCATCCATCATCATCATCAATCAATCCATCCATCCATCCATCCATCCATCCATCATCATCAATCCATCCATCCATCCGTCATCATCAATCAATCAATCCATCCATCCATCCATCCATCCATCCATCTATCCATCCATCCATCATCAATCCATCCATCCATCCATCCATCCATCATCAGTCCATCCATCATCAGTCCATCCATCATCAGTCCATCCATCCATCATCAGTCCATCCATCCATCATCAGTCTATCCATCCATCCATCCATCCATCATCAGTCCATCCATCATCAGTCCATCCATCATCAGTCCATCCATCCATCATCAGTCCATCCATCCATCATCAGTCTATCCATCCATCCATCCATCCATCATCAGTCCATCCATCATCAGTCCATCCATCCATCATCAGTCTATCCATCCATCCATCCATCCATCATCAGTCCATCCATCATC